GAAGGAAGGAAGGAAGGAAGGAAGGAAGGAAGGAAGGAAGGAAGGAAAAGAAAGATGAAGGGAGAGAATGAGAGAGAGAAAAAGAAAGAGGAAGTGAGAGAGGGAAAGAAAGAAAGAGCAGAGAGAAAAAGGGAGAGAGAAAGGAAGTGAAAGGAAGAAAGGGGGTGGAAGGAAGGGGCAGAAAAAAAGAAAGAAAGAGGGAGAGAGGGAGGGGAGAGAAAGAGAGAGAAAGAGAGAGGGAGAAAGAAAGAGAGGGGAAGAGAATCCCACCCCTGAATACTTCTGCACCAATTGATTTTAATTTAAAAATGTTAAAATATTGTGGAGCAAGTCATCAATCCTTAGCATCACCCACAAGGAAAGCCTCTGGATACTATTTCAGTCACATAAGTGTTTGTAGGAAAAACAAAATAAAATGTATAGCTGCAATTCAGAACTTTCTTTGGAAATATTTCTGTTTTGTCTAACAAAACGAAAAGGGGATGGAAGAAGGTTAATGATAGGCAAACAGGACAATTTGGTACAATGCTAGCAGTTTGGATTCTGTAGATATTTTGTGACTCCCACCCACCTAGCCATTGTAGTACAAATTGTAGTGACAGAACATATTGTGCAGCTGTATAAGTCACAGGGTTTGTGTCATGATGTTTTAATTCTTGTTTCATCACTTGCCTCATCCCCTAGTTGCTTATGCTTATCCCTATTTATGAGAATATTTATGAGATGTTCCATAGCTTTGCCTGCTCTGACATAGATAAATATGTATTATTTTTGGAGTAAGGATAGGATAAATGAAATGTAAATTTGGAAGGAACTCCATTTAATATGCAAGAGTTTATTTCTGAAGGTAATGTTAGCCTATAAGAATGATATTACAAGGTACCCTGACTTGAAAAAGACTATAGTGATTTTAGCATACTCTTAAAAATATAAGTACTGGCTTATATGACTCTATAGAAAAAAATCTAGGAGTGATGAAGAATTCATATTGTGTATTATAATAAATAACATGTTTGATCTTTTAGAGTAGTGATAATCAACCTGTGATAACTCTACATGTTACTCCCAGTGCCCCTCACCAATAGTCTGGTGTCCTGGTATCCGGGGAATTACAGTTTAGCAACATATGGATGCCACAGGATTCTAATTCCTCTTATATTACTTGATGGTGGTGTTTTATTCAAACTACTAGATTAAAATGGTCATATAAGAATTGGAGAAAGAAAAGTATGCTTTTCTTTTACAGGCTGAGTTGTTACCGAGGTCAGTATCCTGTTCGTGGAACTCTTTGCTAAGTGCAACATTCCCGGCATTCCTAAAGTTACTCTTTATATTCGGCTCTGCTTTTAAGCAGAGAGAAACCTTCCTTAGGACTGAAGCAGTGCAGACTCAGCTAGCCGATGGCGGGAACACGGATCTCTAAGTAAATCTGTGATTCTTGAGCAACTCAATCTGCCTTTCTGCTTTGCCTGATTTTGGGCAAAAGTTATAATTTATAATATTTACATACAAGCCATGCCCAACCAGTCACATGGCCACCTGCCTGCGCCTCACCCTGCCTTCCCCAGGCCTTGGAAACTGGCAAAAAACACTTGCTAAGCAACTAGTCACTAAGCAAAGACCTGGTCATTAAGTGAGGACCACTTACATTTGGTTTGCCAGTCACATGGCCATGCCCACCCCAGTCACATGACCACCTAGCCACACCCAGTCAGCAAGCCACTCCTACCCTAGCCACATGACCACCAAGCCACACCCGCAAATTAGACCACGCCCACAGAACTGGTTGTTAAGCAATTTGAATCCCACTCCTGCTTTGAGGCACATAGAGAGCTAATTATGCTAACTCTCTTTTTGCCTGAAAGTATTCATTGTTGATTTCTTTTGTTGAAAAGGTCATAATATCAGTGATGTGCCACTGATCTCCAAAACTGCATACTTCAATAGATGCAAACATGGTATCATAGCCCACCCAAGCACCTTCCTAATGTTAATACAAATCACTAGGAATATAATCATTGGCCCTCAAGTTAGGGGCTGAAAACAAGAACACAAAGACAATCTGCTGGTGGCCATTGAATAGACAAGATGGTCTTCTTTCAAGGTAAAGGTTGCACCAGGCTCATTTGGTGGTGTTAATTCAGCAACATTGTTTTCTAGGCAAGGTTTTCTGTACAAAACAGCATAAAATGTCTAGAAGTGTTAAAGTAATCACGATGGCAGAAATCTTTCAGTAAGTACAGGAAAGGCTCCATAGCATTCTCTATGCTTCCTGACCTCATTGCCATTGCATGAAATATGAGACAATGAAAGGTCTAGGGGTTTAGCAGAAGAAACTAGAAATCCATAGGTGGCATGCTCACTGAGGCTACACAAAATTCTTACACAAAAGTTATGGGGAGTTTTGCCATAGACAATTGCTGAGAAGATTCCTTCAATTGGTTCTGTTTCCTTTTTCTCTCTTGATGAAGTAAAGCCTAAATATGCACCCAGAACAAAATATTGGTAGTCCTTGACTTGCTACCACAGAATTTCCATGGCCAAGCAAGCCAGTTGTTAAGTGAGTCATGCTCAGTTTTCCAACCATTTTTGCCACTCTGTTAAGTGAATCACACAGTCATTAAGGGACTGTAGCTTGCTTCATTGGCTTTGCATATGGGAAGACAGCTGGGAAAGTCACAAACGATGATTACATGTACACAGGATGCTGCAACCATCATAGATACATGCTGGTGCTGCCAACTGCCCAAAGTTTGATTCTGTGACTGAAGGGAGGCTGCGATGCTTGTAACTGTGAGGACCAGCCATAAGCCACAGTTTTCAGTGCCATTGTAACTTCAAATAGTTGCTAAACAAATGCTTGCAAGTCAATGACTACTTGTACATTGCTACCGGTTGATTTCAGAAGACTGCAATATATGGCAGAGACGTAACATATCTTCTATGTTGCAAGGGGCGAGGCAGGAAAACCCCACGGACACTAATCTATCTTGTTCTTCCTGCTGTTGCATCGTTCAGAATAATCCCCTCCCTCATTCACCTTTCCATTTTAGAGATGTTTTTAACATCTAACCTGATTTCCTTTTTTATCCATCACAGATATTCATATTTGGTTTCTTGGGCTATGCTTCCTATTCTATTCCTTTAAACTCTTGTGTTTTGGAGGGGGCTAATGAATGATGGCTATTCAATTGTTGAGAACAGTTCTACCTTTTCAAATATAACACAGTTTAACTACAACATGGTAAAGTGACACACAAATGATCCAAACCCTACTTTTTGTAACTCCCTGACTATTTCATTTTTGTAAGTTCTTAGTATGTTTAACAATTAGTTGCAAATAGTTAAAAATAACTTAATTGGAAAGGCATTAAAAGTGTTCCTCAATCCTTACCTTATTATCGCAGACATAATACATAGTTCAGCATTGCAATTACAGGAAGCGTGGTCATGAGTAATGCCCAGATTATGACCCAACTCATGGGCCATTCCAGATGCCATTATATTTGTTCTTCTGCTATAAACCTGAAGAAAAGAGAATACTTTGTTTACTGTTAGTTTGTCAAGAAACTGAAAGTGAATCCAATTATTATTAACATTAAGTGGCTAAAATTGGTGACTAAGTGATAAATGTTGAGTTGAGGATACCATCTCAGAATTCTTCTAGCTCTTCTGAATACATGTATGCCCACCAAGACCCCAGAACATAAAGAAATACATCCAGAAGAAAACTTTGAAGTCCGGAAGCTAAAGCACAGGAGAAGATCAAAACCTATGCATCCATTTGGTATCTGCATTTATTTAGTCCGATCTAAGTATAGTACATAAAATTATATATTGCAATGTCCACCCTCTCAATGAATTCTTCAGCTTCAATCACAACAATACAAGAGCACACAATAGATACAAACTCAAAGTAAAGTGCACCAAATCTGAGTGCAGGAAATACGACTTCAGCAACAGAGTGGTCAATGTCTGGAATACTCTACCTGACTCTGTGGTTTCTTCCCCAAACCCCAAAAACTTTAACCATAGACTTTCTACTACTGACCTCACCCCTTTCCTAAGAGTTCTGTAGGGGGCGTGCATAAGCGCAACAACGTGCCTACCGTCCCTGTCCTATTGTTTCTTTTTTTCTTATTTGTATCCATTTCATGTATTCATAACCATGTTTATAGTTATACCTGTTATCTAATAATAGCTTGACTAAATAAATAAATGAATAACTGAATAAATAAATAGTTATTAAAACTTACAGGCAACTTCAGTTCAAAAATATTCACTGGTGTTTGTACAAGTTAGCATTTTCAGAATATTGAAGGCTGAAGTCCAAAACAAACTTAAGAATGAATGTTCTTCTGAATAAAAAATGGCCTTTTTAAGCAAAGAGGCTTAGGATTACTTTATATTATCCACATCCTAACTCTGCTTATTAAGAAACAAAACTTTATGAGCTTTGTCATATAAGTTTTTTTATTGCTGTGTCTCTCCATTTTTTCTATGTGAATAATAAACTAAGTTTACCGTTTCTCAATAAATGCATAGCATCATTTTAACTAATATGGTTTTCTTGCAGGATCTTAAAATATTGGAGGTTTTTTTTTTTTTCGTTTGAAGTAGATTTAGCATTCTCTCATTTTCTCAATGCACATTAACTCAATCATATAGATCCTAAATTTCTTGGAAGAAAAAAAGGGTGATTCATGTTTGTCATTAGGATTGCTAAGAATATTGTTCAGGAGTATTATTTGGGAGTATTGTAATATGATTTGACCTGCTCATTTGCCAATTAGAGCACAGTTTGACTCCTCCTAATCCAGAAACATTGTAATATGTTGTCAACTTCTGATATATAGCTCATTGCATACAAGAAGTTCAATCTATAACATGTCTAGAATACATTGTGCCAAAGTATCATCAATTGAGACAGGACCTGGAGATGTCAAATCCACAAATAAATATGGATGAAAATGACATGGATCAAAAATAAGAAGATACTTTATTTGTAAAGAAGTTATGACTATATAAGTTTTGATTTGAGTACAAATAGGTAACAGGTATCCTTTCTACTAACCTCCATAACTGCTACAGATTCCTCCGGACTGCAGATGCTGCCCACATAAGCAAGTCCTACAGTAGTTCCGCTGAACTCAATCTGCCTATTAGAAACAAGGGGAGGGGGAATAAAATTTATAGAAGGTGAAAGCACATTATGTAGTCTTAGGGCATATATAACTCTCCATGGCTTTTTGCAAACCCATTCCTCAGTTACTACCAGTTTTCAGGGCGTTAGAATTTATTTTAGATAAATAAATAAATAGGTAGCTACCAACTATAAGTAATAAAGTAAGAATGTAATTGCGCACAAATTAATACCTGTAAATAATGCACAAATTATTGTTATAAGATAAGACTACAAAATCCTGTTGTTGAATAATATATTTCCTATGTTTTTAATTTAATAAAAGTTTAATAAAGTTTTTTTTTTAATGAATTTATTTTAGGTTCTAGTTTCAGAAGCCATTTAACTAAGCAGACCTGTATTAAACATATTCAAGATGCATTTTCATGATATGGTGATTTGGCTGGTGAATTAGGTTGGGGAGAGGGATTAGCATATTGCCTGAATCCAGCCCATAAGGTGAATTTAAATTCCATTAATCATGAAAACCCCAAATACATATTTATTTAATAGATTTTGTCTATCAATTTAGTTGTGCAGTTATTAAAGACTAGATGGGATTGGAAAAGGAGACTGGGAGACAAGTCAAATCAACATCTGTGGCAAAAATAAAATGGAATTTGTTTTTGTTTATTTTAATATTCTCCCTTGCGCTTAGATCTGCCCTACATCTAGCCCCTAATATATTTCACAAGACCAACTTGTTATGCATGTATCCTGTAGGATTGCTCACAACACAATTGTCATTTGTCCAATGTCTTATAAGACATATAAGACAATAAATGTATCAATTTCCCACTCATTAAATTGCATGAGAATACATAGGCTGATGGGGTGCAGAACTAAGCAGTTAAGATACTGGGCTTGTTGACTGGAAAGTGGACAGTTAGAGACCTAAGTACTGCCTGACACACTCCAACTCCTGCCAAGTACTGCCTGACACACTCCAACTCCTGCCAGCCAGTTCAGAAGCACAAAAACATAAGTTGATAAATAGGCACCATTTCGGTGGGAAGATAATAGCATTCTTTGTGCTTTTGGCATTTAATAATGCTGGCCATGTGACTATGAAAGCATCTTTGAACAAACTTGGCTCTTCAGCTGTGCTACTGCTAAATAGATTGGGTGGGTATTTTATCATTTTAGTTTATTCTTGGTTATCTGTTGTGTAATGCCAGCATTGATTTAATTGATGCAGAATGGGAACCAAACCATTACCCAATCAAATAAAAAATGAATGTGTAAGTACAGCCAAAGCATAGTAGGATAATCATTTGAGTTTCAATTTTAAATCTAGATGAAATGAAATCAAGCTGAGTTTTTGACCTGCAATCATTCAATGAACTCTCAACTCCATCCCTCATCTACAAAAAAAAGTGATTGACTTCGACCCAGAGATATAGTTCAGATATGGTTTAAAGTACACAGCACTAACCTTCCCATAATCCTCCACTCCCAGATAGCCCCACTCCTTTTCCCCACAATGAGACGTACGTAAGTAACTGAGCATTATCATTCCTTTTGCGTGGCAGTAAAACTGTTTCTCTCCATTTTCCAAATGATTTCAAAGTGACAGCCACCTCTGGTTCAATGTTAATCTTATCTCGGTTGGACCAAATTTCTAGGCCAATCAGTGCAATGAGAAAATTCAAAGGTCTGTACATCTGTGAGGTGGACATGACAGCAATTAGAACCTTAAATGCAAGTAAACCCTGAGAACTTTGAGAAGACCAAGATTAAAAAGAAACTGGCATTGGCTTCTATGGGCAGGTGAAAAAAATAGATATAGGCATCAATAGAAGAGAACTCTCTGGTGCTCTAGACTCAATTGTGGACTCCTTGCTGCTTTCTGAGTTTGCTGCTTTGCTTACTCAAGTAAGTTGTTTAGTCAGATAATGAAATGTCTGCAAGGAAACCACCAAGCTCAGACAACACTAAGGACTCTATATATTGGGGAAGAGGAGGAGGAGGAAGAAGGAGAAGGACAACAACAACAACAACAACAACAACAATACTTGGTTGATACCTAGGATACTGGCAGAAACCCATATCAACCATTAGATCCAGTCAATAATATTTGTGATACATTTTTAAATGTTCAGTTGACTGACTTTCATGTTTAATGAATAAAAGATAATATGATGATGATGATGATGATTACTAATAATAGTACTAACAGTAATAATATGATTAATTGATATTGCAATACCAGGTGATGCACTAATTGAAGAGAAACAACAAGAAAAAAATAACAAAATACTAAGGTTGAGTGATTGTGGAGGAATATATCAATAATACCAGTGGTTGTACCAATAGAAATATGAGCCCTTGGAGCAATATCCAAGGGCAAAATGGAAATTTTGAACTTATCAGACCTGAATATCCTGACTTTGCAAAAAAACCCATCTTACTCAGAACTGCCTATATATTGAGATGTTACCTTAACAGCTCTTGGGTCCTTGGTTAGGACCTGAATTGTTTAATTTTTACCAGTCCCAGAGTGTAAATTGAATCAATCATTATCATCATCATTATCATCATCATCATTGTACAACTTAAGAAAACACTTGGTTGATACCTAGGATGCTGGCAGCGACCCGTATCAACCATCAGAGCCAGTCAATTATATTTGTGGCACAATTAAATGTTCAGTTGACTGAGTTTCATGTTTAATGAATAAAAGAGATAATTATAATGATGATGGTGTATTAAGCAGGAGAAATAAAACGATAACAAGAAGCAGGTGTTTATTCTCTATAGTCAAGAACAGAGGAGGAGGAGGAGTAAAGGGAGATTTGACTCATCGATCTTCCTGTTGTCTGTAAACAGGGCTAATTGGACACTACAACAGGAGCATATCTCCCCGTAGGTACCACAATCCAACTCAAATAGAGTTCCTCTCTCCAGGTTTCTTTTCAGGGATCAGTTCAATAATCAACTGACTCTGTCTACCTCTTTCTAATGTCCAAGTTCAGAACCATTAACCACAGCCCTCAAAGAATCCAGCTACATATATAGTTCTGATTGAATTCTTGCAACACTTTTGGATTGGCATTCTCCCAACACTGTGGCTGTATTCACATAAGAGGCTGTCAGAGTATATTCATGAGCTTAGTAACAAGGTCAGCCAGTGATAGCTGAATTGAGGGCAGAAACTTAAAGAGAGAATCTGTTCTGTGCTCAGCTCTAAAGTGAAACTAACTTGCTTGCTTGTCTGCTGAAGTTGAGTTGCTGTTCTGTTTTGCCCTTGTAACATGTTTACTTCTGTTTGAGTTTGCTCCATGTTGAAAATATCTACAACTGGTATTTTACAATTTACTTAACATGTTTACAAAAACATTAAACGAAGCATCAGCCAACTGTGTTTATTTTTTCTGGCACAGAATTTACACTGCAAAACTCTGAACAGGTTATGGGCCCAGAAAAAGACTGAATTGTAATTAAAGCTGAGAAACTGCTTGTTTTAAAAGTAAGAAACAAGGCTTTGCAGGATGGCTGAAAAAATTAAAGAGAGCTCCGTTTGGGTCAGAAGAACTATATTATTTGGGCTGTAAAAATGGAGTGTTTTAAAAAATAATGCTTTATTTGTCTTGTTGAAATTTATAAGCAATTCTTAGAAAGGAGGTTTTATACTTCTATGTGTTATGTTTTGTTTGTCTTTAAAAATCAATAAAACTTGTTCTTAAAAATAAATAAATAAATAAATAAATAAAATAAAAAATGGAGTGTTTCCTAAAGGCTCAAGTGCTTTGGAATATTGTTTAAAACCCACCCCAGGCACCATTGAATGCTACAGATCGGAAGCTGCATGATAGAGCATTGGATTATTATATCATCTTAAGTTTAGAAGATGATCAGTTTTTCAATGTAGCTGATTTAAAGACTGTAAAGGAAGTCTGGGATAAATTGAGGACTGTTCATGTGAGTGTATCAGCATGCAACATCGTATAGTTATCAAGAAAGTTATATAGAGCTTGTTTGCAGTCAGGAGATTCAGTGGAAGAGCATTTTGTTCATATGCAAACTTTGTGGATTTGGAGCAGTGTGGGATGAGGATTCCTGAATCTCAGAAAAGTACTGCTAGTTTTGAACAGCCTAGATGAAACTTGGGACATTCTTTCTGCTGTGTTTGAATGCAAACCGGAGCAGGCGCTGCATTTTGAAGCCCTTAAAGCTTGTTTAATTAGACAGGAGAGAAATCCATGGGGAGGGGTCCAGGGAGCAGAATGGAAAAGTCCACAGACTGGCTGTCTCCAGAGAAGAGAAAAACAGCAGGGTATATCAGATTACAGCTAAACAGAAAGCCCTACAATGGAGACGATGCTTCATTTGTGGACAAACAACTCATTTAAAGAAAGACTGTTTGCAAAGGGACTGTCTGCAAGACAGAAGAAGCAGTTTGCAAGAATGACAAGTTGATGGACAAATTGCAATAGCAAAAGTCAACTCTTGCAGGAGAGGTCAATGATGTCAGCTATGGAACCATGATTCATTGCTGCCACCCAGCTGGAGAAAGGGGGGGTGGGTTGATGTTAATTGAGTAGCTCAGTAGATAAAATATAATTCTTTTGATAGTTCAAGGTTAAAGAGTGTGACACAGAATGAATTGGAACTTACTTTGGGATTGGTTCATGTGATGTGATGATGAGTAAAAAAGAGATGGTTTGCAGATTGGGACATTGTGGGGAAGCCAGGAAACTTTTAGATTCAGAATTCCACAGATGTGCCAGGTGCTATTCTAATAAAAGTACTTTGAGATTATGCTTGTCTTGGAGTTACTGACAGGAATGGATGTTCCCTGGAATCCTGACAAATGTCTTATCAACAGTGGGGCTAGCCAAACAATTATTAATAATGCTAAATTGTTTTACAGGATGGATGCAGCTGCAGGAGACACAGTAGCCTTGGCAAATGGCAAGAAAGCTAAAATAATTGGAAGAGGCAGTGTGCAAATTCCATATTTGGAAACAAGGTTTAATAATGCTTTATATATGCCAGAAATGGAACATAATTTGCTGAGTGTCTCTAGACAAGCAGGGATTTGAGACCACATCTGTAAATGGGCAGTGTCTTATAAAGAAAAATGGGATTGTATGTGCAAAGGGCATAAAGCATGATAACCTTTATATGTTACAGGGACAAAAAGTTCAATGTGCACAAACGTTCGGCAATGTTGCAAAACATGTTGTTCAAAAGATGGACCAGTATGCAGAAAGATTGCATGTAAAGGGATGTAAGGCATATTTGGATTGTGCAGTATGCAAAACATCAAAGTCCAAGGCATTCCCAGTAAGCAAGAATAGCACAAGGCAGACAACAAGAGCTCTAGAACTGGTACATGAAGTTTTGGTGGGCCCAATGCAAGCCAGTTTGGGAGGAGCTAAGCATGTGCTGGTCATTGTAGATGACTATACCAGGTTTGGGTTCTGCTTTTTATTAAAGAGTAGAACAGAGGTGCTACAGAAATTTAAGCAATGTGTAAGTTTTGTAGAAAGAAGGCATAAACAACAGTTATGTCAGCTGCAAACTGACAGAGGTTCAGAATTCATGGCAACAAGTTTTCAGCAGTGGTTGACACAGGAATAAAACACAGACACACAAATAAGAATACACAGCAACTGAAAATGGTGTTGCTGAGAGACAGAATGGAGTCTTGCAAACCATGAAGGACTCACTGCTAGAGGATTCTGGCCTAAGCAGATCATATTAAGGTGAAGTCATATTGACTGCTAATTATTTAGTTAATAGGCTGTAGAGTTCCTCTATTAATGATACTCCATATGCATTGCTATATGGGAGAAAACCATCTCTAGCACATTTAAGGGTGTTTGGAAGCAATGTGTGGATACAATTCCACAAGCAATTAGAAGAAAGGGGCAACCAAAGGCTAGAAAGCTCAGGTTTTGCGGGCTATGAGCCAAGCTCAAAGAGTTATCGCTTTAGTGATGGGAGGAAAAGAATAGTATTTTCAAGGTCTGTGAGTTTTGCAGAGCAAAATTGGAACAGAATTGATGCAAATTTGTGCAATGATTCACTTAGTGATGGTGATCCACTTAGTGATGGTAACTCACTTAGTGACAGTAACTCACTTCAATGTCTGGGGAGGAGAAGCTGAACAATATATGAAGCAAGAGAGGGTTGACACACAGGAGCAGTCAGTGCCACCCAGGTCAAAGTGATGGAATAAGGGGATTCCACCTGACAAGTATTTTGCTGGTAAAGTTAAAGTGTGTAATGTATGGTATGAGCCAAGGAACTACAAAGAACTATTAGCATTATCTAAAATTGAACAAGTTAAAAGGTGGGGATGAACGCAATTGCGTTGGATAGGTAAAAAAAGGAATTCCCAGGTATCCCTCAGGTATGAAGGGAACTGTGAATCTGGCTCTCCAAATACAGATATCTGAAAAATATTAAAGGTAATTGACTTTATGTCTATTCCAGTTATGAAGGGAGGAGTGTCAGAGTATATCCATGAACTGGAATAGAGCTTAGGTCAGCCAATGAGAGCTGAATTGATGGCTGAAAACTTAAAGAGAGAATCCGAGCTTGGTTTATCTCTGTTCTGTGCTCAGCTCTAAAGTGAAAGAGAAATTAACCTGCTTGCTTGTCTGCTGAAGTTGAGTTTCTGTTCTGCTCTGCACTTGTAACATGTTTACTTCTGTTTGAGTTTGCTCCATGTTGGAGAAATCTACAACTGGTATTGTACAATTTACTTAATATATTTATAAAGACGTTAAATGAAGCATCAGCCATCTGTGTTTATTTTTCTGGTGCAGAATTTACACTGCAAAACTCTGAACAAAGGCTTACTAACCTAGTTACTAAATTAACCCATTTTAAAGGATGGCCTTACATGCCAGACGACCAGCTGGTCAAATGACCCAGTTTTGCCTCACTTGAAGCCACAAAAGTTAGTATTCTTATAGAAGTTCATCTCCTAGCTCCCTTTACCTTTATGTGTGTTGTGTCAACACAGTGAAAACCTGGGATGGGGCTGAGAGAAGTTTAAATCTGACAAGTGAAATAATTTTTGCCATATTGTCTTACCATGTTTAAAAGGTTGATTGTTTCATATACTTTTCTTTTTATAGCATGTCTGTTGCTGTCGTAATTCTTGTACTACAGAAAAGACAAACATGTTAAGATGAGATCATAATGATAGGAAGAAGGAAGTGAAGTAGAGAGACAAAGAACATATCAGGATCATATCAGGACATAAAGGATCATTGAATTTGCTGATTCAGACAAAAGTAATATTTTTATCTAAGCAGTCCAAATAATTCTTTTGTGCTGGTTTTTAATCTGCATTTGTGCCTTTAATATATTCAAATTATTAACTTTTCAGCAGCATAGATGGGCTCTCCTCCTGGCTGGAGAAAATTTTGCTCAGCCTATTGAGATGCTTTCTTAAACTAGATGCCATATATCTGTGTTCAGAGAAGTGTGAGATAAGCATTCTCCACTAGATATCTTATTCTTCATGTGTTGTCAACTTGGATAAACAAATAATTCAGGAATGTTTCAAAGAAATCTATAGAAGTGTTTAACCATTGTGGGATAAAAATTTTTTAGATGGAATCCAGGAAGAACAAATGTGCAAATTAGAGTATATTTACAAATCTCTCTTTAACTTTGTAAATATTGGTTGGGTCCAATAACAAAAAAATATATCAAAATTTATGATAAAGCACATTTTAAGAGAAATCCAGTTAGGATGTTTGTTTATGTCTTCAAAAATGCCTACATTAAAAAAGGCAGAAATCAACTCAGAAAAAAATGGAATGATATCCAGATACTTACCATTTTGTTGTCCACAACTACATACAACTCAATGTATTTTTTGACCTTCAAGTACCTTTCTTGCTAAACAGAACAATAAACAAAAGGCTGTTTAGATATGTTGCTCCCATCAGCCAACATTCTTGTTGGTCATCATCAGATAATCAGAAAACTGATTGTTATACTCCCTGGTGCATGTTCCACTTGAGAAAGCATGGATGGGCATGCTCTATTTGCACAAGTGAGTGCATGGTCACACAAATGGAGTTGCGTGCACGCGTGACCCCACTGCTCACACTGAGCCATCCCCCACCCCCCACCCCGCCAGACTGCAAAGCTGGAAAGGTTGGGGAACTCTGAGTTAGAGAATGTGCTGATAAATGTTTGTAGAAAAAGTACATTATGCAATGGATTGTCAAGCAAAAATAAAAGTTGTCACCTTAAAAAAAATGTTTGTCATGACATGAATCACTTTCTTTGTATTAATATGGTGTGGCACTTGTTTCCAATTAATCTGTTTTTGGAATTTATGATGCCAACATTTAAAGATAAATTTATATATGAATACCTAGCTCTGAACAGAATTTAATAGGAATAAAAACAAGCATGTGAAGAAATTGCTTTCTTTGACCTATTTTTCAGCCTGCCGCTCCAATGACCTTCTCACTTTTCCTTCCCTTTCTCAAACCAAGGATTTCAACCAATCACATGAGAAACATAGTGATGTGGTTATGCTATATAACCATTTAGACCTTGCCTGCAATGATAACACACCTTACATCAAAGACAAGACATTTTGACCCCCTGAACTCACCGTAAAAGGTCAAAAATTTATATCTTTCCTTTGATGTAATTTAAAAATGATTACTGAAATATTGTTTCAGACGTCTTGGGCACAAGGAACAAGAACAACATGGTCAGAGTAGGTTCTTTACTGCTGCTCTCCTATAGACAGGAATCTTGCCAGACTAAAGTAAACTCTGTTAAACCATTGAATATACCCTCTGAAAATTTTAGAGAGGATCCTTTCTGGCCTTCTTTCTGCAATCCAAGGACTCATTGTTGATCTGCCTCTTATTTCTCTGAGAAAGAGCCCTTCCTTCCTGCATTCCACTGTTAGGTTTCACCACTAGAACTGCCAAATTACTCAGGAAGTGCACTTATGCTAAGATCTGCATGTGCGAGGGTGTATTATTTGCTTTCCCAAGGAAAGTGTATTCATGTTTTTTCATCATACAGAACTACAAGGCCAAATTGCCAATTCCAGGGTGCAATTTCTCTCCTTGCTCTCTGAGAGCCAGTTTCTTAACTCTGCTGCACAAGATCTAGTTTGAATAAAGTGACCATGAGCAGACACTGAGAATAGAACATTTACGATAAAGGACCAATTAAGGACCAATTAAACATAATGTATATAACTACAACTTGCTGAGAATAAAGAATTTGGAAATGGGGCCTCTTCCCTTATGAATTCTATCTAATACCCCACCCCCCCAAGGAATTTCTTGTTTACTTTGCATTTTAGAAACAAGTTAATGAATCCCTGTTCCTGAACCATGTTATTATATATCTGAGAGTTTAATATAAGATTTACTTCAGAAATATTAGTTAATTGAGAGATCTTTTTGATGGGCTCATCTGACTCCGAAGTAGTCTGGGTTATCCCACAGTTGGGGGTCTCTTTCTCTTCTTCTACATTTTCATCTTTGTAGATTGCATGGAATTTACTGTCGGAAAGCTTCAAGGGCTCAATAAAGTATGTCTCCCCTTGATGCTTGAAATGTCCTCTGTAAAAGAATGTAGAAAAGGGTGGTCAGAGATGGATAACCAATAGAAGAAATTATTGTTAGTTCAGGGATAATCTGGACTGATGATGTTACCTAGTTGGGCAGTGAAATGTTTGCAAGGAAATAACTAAGCTTTGAGAGCCATTTTTAATTGACCAAGTCAACATTCCGTTTTTTTAATCCCTCCCTAAAACTCACTGAAATTGTTATTTTCTATCTATCTGTCTGTCACTTTGTCTCTCTGTCTATCATCCATCTATCTATCTATCTATCTATCTATCTATCTATCTATCTATCTACACATTATATATACAATGTACTATAGAAACTATAGCACAGTATTTGGCTGCGGTCAGGGAAATAAAATCAGATTCATATGATAGCAGTTTGAGATAGGAGTCAGGATGACCAGGATAATTAATAAAAAAATGGAAATAAGAATTCTTGGCAAGCATCTTCTTAGAGAGGGCAATGTAGAATAATATGAATAACAATGTAGAATAACAATGCAGGATAACAAGGAGCTGGAAGCTAAAACACATGATGAGTGGTTGCAGGAACTAGGTAAATCTAGTGTAAGGAAGAGAAGGATTAAGAGTGACGTGATAACAGTTTTCCAATATCTAAGGGGCTAAGAGGGTGACATTCTATTCTCCAAAGCACCTGAAGGCAGGACAAGAAACAATGGATGGAAACTAATTTAGGAAAGAAGCAACCTAGAATTAAGAAAAAATTTCTTGACAGTTGGAACAATTAATCAGTGGAAAGATATACATTCTGACATTGTGGGTGTTCCATCACCCCTGGTTTTCAAATAGAGATTGACAACCACTTAAGCAGGAGGTTGGACTAGAAGACCACCAAGGTCCCTTCCAATTCTGTTTTTCTATCATTCTGTTGTTCCCTTATTATTCTTTTGTTATTCTGTTCTGTCCATCATTTAATGTATTCCCCTGCTGCATGGACACAGTCTCTGCAAAAAGGGGATCTTTTAGTGTCTTCCTTCAATAGCAGCTATTGGGAGAACATTGAACCTGACCAGTGATAAGGACCTTCTGGTTGGAGAAGGTCCTTAGAGTGACAGCAGAGTGACTCAAGAAAGTGTTTCTGGGTAGAACTGAAAAGTCTGCTACATACAAAGGAATCATGGGCTTGGAAGCTCTTTTAGACAGACCTTGATTTAGCTCCCTAGTGTCTCTACCAGCTGGCAGCAGCTCATGTTTCAACCAAAGTCTTTCTAAATTCTGCAGAAGTCACACCCAACTAATTTTCATGAAAAACTCCATTTTAAGTTGGAGTTATGACAACTCCAAGAGCAGTATTTTATTCTTAATAAAATCAGTAAAAGATAAGAGACTATCTTACTTCAAGCCGTCGCATGCACTGATGACTGCACTTGAATTAGCTTCATTCTGAATGTAGCCATGATAATAGCAGTGATCCTGTATGCAGGCAAGAGGGTTACACTGGTTAAAGCTTGTTTGTAGTACGATTTGATGAGCATAAGTACAGTTCCAATATATTCCACAACATCAATAAAATAATGAGTAGGACAGAAACTAGTTGAGAATATTTTTATTGAGGAGGAGAAAAAATGAAAATGAAAAGGTAGATCATATAAACCTGATATTCTCATAATAAATCTATTTGTGAAACTCACTCCCCAAAATATTTGCTTCCAACCAGTAGGAAAGCACTGGTTGATTGGAATCTTGCCCTACTAATTCAATGAATAAAACCAACTGGGTTTAACAATCCATATATCCTTATATGAATATTTCAGTATAAGATATTTTATACATATACAGTCATTCTTATTTGAGTAGCCTGGTCTGGAACATGCCTATTTGGAATATTGTGCTCAAATATTCCTCTCAATTTATTTCCTAAAAGTAAGATAATCTGGATATTGAACCTACTTGAACCAGAGGGCTTGTTATAATTTCTGTGTCATCAGAGGAATAATGAATTTCAGTGTAATCTTCTGAAAAAAGTTCTCTGCAAAGAGGAGAATATCTATGTCAGAAATTAAGTAGGACAGAGATAGTTTTATAGTAAGTCTACAACTACTGTATTTTAGGCATATTGTTTGGTATCAAAGAAAAGGGGCAGGTATTTAAGAGGAGTGAAGCCCATACTAGATTCACCTGAGTAAAGAGATTTGCACCAAGGAAGCTGTGCAATTCTCTTCATCAAATCTCAGAGGTGGTATGATTGACCAGGAGAAAACATTCTGTATTGCCTCTTCTTTTTATTCTTCTGGTCTATGCAACAGTCTGATGAAACTGCTTGGTGTATAAAGGAGAGCAGGGGTGGGATTCAAATTTCTTAACTGGTTCTGTGGATGTGACCTGATTTGTGGGTGTGGCTTGGTGATCACGTGATTGGGTGGGCATGGCTTGCTGATTGGGTGTGGCTAGGCAGTCATGTGACTGGGGTGGATGTGGCCAGGTAACTGGCAAACCAAATACAAGTGGTCCTCGCTTAATGGCCAGTTGCTTAGCAAGTGTTCTAATTTACAACTGACTTCCCCAGAGCTACTTCATCTGTTTTTGGGAGGCTGGGGCAGTGGGTGCTCATGCTTAAAGTAACAGGCAGGCTTTAAAGTGGTATTCTTAAAGTGTGCATGCTGCTTTAAAGCCTGCCTGTTGCTTTAAATGTGATGGGACCTTGCGATGGGACTGTGCAATGGGACCTTGAGCACCCCCCACCCCAGCCGTCACTGCTCCACTTGGAGATGATTTCAGAGGTCTGGGGCAGCAGGTGCTCACACTTAAAGCGGGAGGCAGGCTTTAAAGCAGCATTCTTAAAGAGTGCGTGCTGCTTTAAAGCCTGCCTGCCATTTTAAGCGTGAGCACCCGCTGCTCCAGCCCTCCAAAAGCATCTCCAAGTTGAGCAGCAACAGCTGGGGTGCGGGGTGCTCAAGGTCCCGTTGCAGCTGCACGCCACCACCTCCTCCCCCCTTTCTTCCTTTTTGCCACCCACTGCTAACTGGAGCTCACCGGATCACAGTTAGTCCCAGACCAGGTAGGTGTGTGTGTGTGTGTGTGTGTGTTTGTGACAGCTGCGGCAGGTGTGTGTGTGTGTGTGTGTGTGTGTGTGTGTGTGCTCATAGTCCTGCTGCTTTAAGTTTACAGCAACAGCTGTATACTTTAAAGCATGCTGCTTTAAAGCGTGAGCACCTCCCCCTCCCCGGCCCTCAAAAGCATCTCTGCAGGCAGCAGAGGTGGCGGACTGGCTGCCCCCCATTTTGCCCCCGAGAGAAGCGGGCAGAGGCGGCAGAGACGCTGTGGTGATAGAGTTGCTTATAGGCGGCAGCACTGCCACATGGTAGGGAGAGCTGGGAGAATGCTGTGTGGTGGCTTAGCCAGTCAGTGGGAAGGGGCTGCACTGGAGGGGAAGCCAGCCAAGCCCGGGGATGTTGGGGGGGTGTAGCTAGATAGGCTGGGTGAGGGTAGGGGAGCCTCAGGGACAGTGGGGGAAGGGTTAGCACAACTCGCAGGCTTACCTGTGAGCAGGCAGATCAGAAGAGAGGCTCGTATCAGCTCTGGTCTTCTTCTCTCACCTGCTCTTGCTGGGAGAGCATCTCCTGGCAGAGCAAAAACCTTGCAAGTCCCTCTTCCCTTTGGAAATGACTCCTAGGCAGCAGTGAGAAACAGGATTCAACTGATTCCCGAATGGGGGGGACTTAGAAGCTTTTTGCTCTGCTGCAGCGAAAAGCAGGCAACAACGGCTGGCCTGGCGGGCAAAAGCAGGCTGCAGGCATGTCACGCATGCGCACGATGTTGCACATGTGCAATAGGAACTGACTGGGCAGGAAGCGGAGAAGAGGGTGGAGAGCAGCGGGGCCAGCCTGGGGGCCGTTTTACCGGTTATCTGAACTATCGGGAACCATAACAACCGGTTCTATAGAACCAGTCTGAACTGGTAGAATTCCATCCCTGCTTAAGAGTAAAATGAAGCAACCTCAAAGAAATGGATGCCTTGACTCCTCACACAGAAGCATCTGTCTTGAAGTTTTAAACTAATATATGGATTCACTTTCCACTCCTATGTCACATCTGTGTGCTTTCGCATTTCCTTCTATTTTTCCAATCTAGATATTCTTTGCTAGTCTTCCACCTCTAGCCCTGCTTGGCTTCTGTCCCAAAACGTGATCATCTAGATCAGGCTTGTCCAACCTTTCACCTTCCCTGGGCCACATTAGAAGATGAAAATTTGGTTTGGGCTGCACATAAAATAAAATAACAGTAATGATACCTGATCATCCAAAAAAACCATAGCAAACATTTTTTTCATAAGATATCATAAAAAATAGTCAACCAGGGAGAAAGGAACACGGAGGGGGGGGAAGAAAGCTCACCCGTCTCGCGCCTACCTCTCCTCCTGCAAATGGCCTGGCTGGATGCAGCAGAACTGGAAGGCGAGGACCGGGAGGCTCAGTGCAGCAGCAGCAGCAGCGGCGGCGGGGGCAGAAGCTGTTACAACAGCTCCGGCGGCAGCAGTGGCAGCGGCAACAGCAGGAGGTGGTGGAGCGGGACTTGGGCTGTGGCTGCCTTGGCACGAGGAGCGCTCTGACGACGCCCACCTTTTCTGTTGCTGCTTGGCGTGGCGCTTGCCTCGCCCCGCCTCGCGCCTGCCTCTCCTCCTCCTCCTCGCTGGCTCGTCTTCTTGCATGAAGGTTGGGGTGGGCACTGGGCCGCATTATGAGCCGACCTGGGCCACATGCGGCCCGCGAGCCGTGGGTTGGACAAGCCTGATCTAGATGCTGCCCTTGAAATCCTGGATAGCCTTCATATTTAAACAAAACTAAAAAGGACACTAGGATTTCTAAAGCACGCAGCCATACAAATTTCAAAGGTGATGCGGCATTTACAGGTTAGGGGATAATGAAAATGGCATACTTTCTTTTAGTGGTATTAGTAGTTTACATATGAGAAATCCAACTTACAATTAAGAGCAATTTCCTGACAATGAGAACAATTAATTGGTGCAATGGCTTGCCTTCAGAAGTTGTGGGTATTCCATCACTGGAGGTTTTCAAGGAATGATTGGATAGCTATGGAATGGTACAGTCTCCTGCTTGAGCAGGGGGTTGGACTAGAAGACCTTCAAGGTCCCTTTCTGCTGAAAAATAATTTTGTTCCATTTTTGTTACCTGTAGTGAAACAAAGCTGCCAATCTTTTTTAAAGGCCTGGCTAGATGAGTCAGTGAAAGACCAAAAACTTCTTTCAATGGTTTGTTATTATGAGAATATAAACCAGGTGGCTTATATTTGAACAATATCTTTATTAATATTTTGATTTATAATTCAAATAGAACACCACCAAGAAGATTCACATGGCATTCTTTGAAAAAAAGTGTAGTGAAATCTGAGCTTACTTAGGTTTTTCATGCCTTGATATTTCATGCCTTTCGTGCTTCAATATGTAAATTCTGATGTAAGTTGATTGACTATATAGATTTCTTAGGTAATATTATTCAGATCAATAGGATATCTTTGAAGCAGCATAAGCCATCATTTTAAAAACTATAATATTTCATAACTAATCTAGGTAATTCAAGGGATAGAAGGTTATGAGCCTTGAATGGTTCAACTTTATCTAAATTGTTATAGTACAGCAATGAACCATAGAAAGCTGAAATAAACAATTCTCAGTTCAGGGGTAAAACCTAATTAACATGTTCACCAACTATATCGATTTTTCCTATAGTGTAAAATTTAATTTACTTTTAGGTTCCCAAACAAAGCAATACAATTATTATTTCTCTTGGATTACATCCAAGAACATACATTTTCCATATTGTTCTAATTAAGTTAAGAGAACTTTGGAGATAACATACTTATTTCTTTCTAAGTGAAGGACCACTGGCTCTCCATTCACCTGAAATTCATATTGCATTGTATCTTCATACTTGGTCTGAAATGCAAAGAGTTCAGAGGTTTTTTCTTTAAAAGAATAAGGCAAATAAAATGTGTACCCTTTTAACAACTCTACACCTGTGTCAAATGGAGAGCTATAGCCAAATTATTTATTAGATTTAGAATATTTCATCTGGTGCTTGAACAGCACTATAAAAATTTAAATTGAATTAAACTTTCTAGCACAAGTTCAAGATCTCATTCTCCAACTGAACATCTTTTTTCTCCCAAAAATTTATTATTTTTTTAAAAAACAAACATACAAACCAAACACAAAACATAAAAACATAAAACATCTTTTTTGAAAGCAGCTTGATCCCGGGTTACATCTCTTCGTACAGACATAAATTCAAGTTCATGCTCACTTTTATATACCATTCCATATCTTATTACCATTCTAAATTTTCTATATAGCTTCTCCCCTCTTTTCACTCTCTTAATTCTATTTTATTTATTTCATCTCAATTTAAATCATTATACTTATATCCTTTGTCTGTCCTGTTTCAACTGTCTATTATCTTTTCTCATTAACACAAAATTTCTCCTGTAATCACTGATTGGAGTATGACGCCTTTATATCTTTCCCCTAAATTTAACACTTAATATAATACATAACTTTCATTCGGATTCTGCTTAGTACATTCTAAAGCTACACACTATATTTTTTAAAAAATAAAAAAATTATAAATATATAATATAATTAAAACAACAATCCATACCAGTTAAACTCCATCATTAAAAATAATATTCATTTAAATCTTAAACATTTTACACATTCCTTTTCAAATAAGTATCATACTTCTATGGGAACCCTTATAAGTTTTGCGTAGTTACTTCCCCCCCCCATTTCACTTATATTTTAAAACATTATGTAATTAAAATGTTCCCATTCCTTTTTAATTCAATTCTCTCATATTTCATTTCATTTATTTTGTTCAAAAAAGAAAAAGTTTCACTAAATTACATTGAATATATTATCCCATTTTATAATCATATGTTGTTCCAATTTTCTAACATTATTTCTAATACAAATACAACAATACTGTCTATATGTACCTTTGCAGAATCTCTTTTTCAGTTATATTTTTACCCATTATCTCTAAATAAATTCTGTTTCTTCACATCTTGTTTCAAACCCTGGTAGCTTCTCTTCCCTTCCTTCCTCCCTTGCTTCTTCATGCCCTTTTTACCCCCTTGTCTCTCCATCTCCATTTCCCTCTTCTGTATCCCTCTTTTCTGTTGCTTTCTGACATTATATCCACTTTTCACCTTATTTTTTCCCTTTTTTGGTTGTTCTTTTAGGTTTTAAATTCTCCATTCTCTTTCCCCTCTTTCCCCTTTCTCCCCCAGATAAAGTTCATTAAAGATGGCTTCTTCTTTGTCCCAATCTTCTTGTTCTTGTAGTTTCTCATAGATAGAAATCGCCATTTCTAAAAAGTGGAAAACAGAGCCAAAAGAGGCCTTCCCTTCTTGTTCCTCTTCTTTATATTTTTTAAATTCAATTTTCAGTTCATCCACAAGTGATGCCATTATAAAAAAATTTTTAAACAACTACCCAAGTATTTTTAATCATTAAAATATAATTTCCAAAAGTCTAAAAGTCACCAAGCAGTCCAAATACACACAAGCTGTTTCATTTAACACTTTCCTCTTTTTTCACTTTCTCTTCCTGGGGTTACAATTCAGTTACAAAGTTCCAATTAAAATGTATCTTTTAGAAGTCTTGTTACAATTTAACTTTCGATTCTTTTAAATTCCAAGCAGTCTCCTCCAGCCAAATCTTACTCTTTATTCTTTTCCTCTCCCTTCGCACTTACAGCAAAAAAAAAAGTTTTTTCAGTGTTCAGAAATCTTTATTGTCCCCTTGGCTTTGATTTTCAGTTTAATTACCTGCTGATATCAAAGTGGGTTTTTCCGATTTCTCATTCATCTGCTGTCACCGTAAGGAAGGAGTGTGAGAAAAAACAAACTTTCCCTTTTCACTTTCATTTGCTGCTTCCAGATCTTCCTTGGGAACGATGAATCTTTTTAAAAATTTAAATTCCAGGATATCTTGAATGTTGCTTCTTATCCCGGTCAGCCAAAATTTTCACTTCTTAGCTTCTTACTGCACATTCTTTTCCGGATGAGTGCTTCTTTGAGGCGACCATTTCTGACCACCGCTCTACCGCCTTTGGAAAAGGGAGTTAAGCCAGCTGAGGAGGGAAGGTGCGGACTCCCCTCAAAGCCCTGCTGGGTCTCCCCTGTCTTCAGCCCCCTCTATGGGGTGGCTTTAGCCCCGAAGCCGGCTGGCTCGGGGCACTCCAGCGGCAAGCACAAGCAGAAACCACACACGATCGCAGATTCCTGCCGCTGCCGAAGCCCAGCAAACCAGAAGTCCTCCAACTGAATATCTTATGAACATTAATAGTAACCTATTAATACTAGGAAATTCTGTTCTATGTTGCCAGGAGTCTCCTCAATTTTATGCGAATTAGGTGATTATATAAATTTGTTGAATGAATGAATGGGGCACATAGATTTCAATGAAAAAAAAAATCCAGATAATCATTAGATGGCAGTAAAGGGAAACAAAAAATTATGTTGGCTGGTAAGAAGTCTTTTGCTGAGATCTTTTTCTTACCTCTGGCTGAGGATTCTGAACTCCTCCTTTGGGCAATGCAGGCACTTTTTGTGGATACACTACTTCATAATCATTAACATTCCCAGATTCCAGGATTATAGAGCTCCCTTCATAAGGGGGAAGAAAAATAAGAAAACTTTGGTTGACTTTGGGATGTTATTCTACCATTCTCACACCCACAACTCAATTCGCTATTCAGTTATCAATGAAGAATGGGATCATTTTCTAGTGGAAGACAGCACTGAAATCAAGATTTTCTCTGAGTATGCGGAAGGATGTTTGAGAGCTAGGAGACTATTTAGAGACATTGCTTTGGGCAGCTGGAAAAGAAAGATTTTGGAGCTTGAAAAAAGAAAGTGCAAGTATAAGGATAACATGAGAACCTATAAATCACAATAGTTTGATTCACAAAATTCAGTAAACCATATTACATTATGGTTTAGTATATCCATAGTGAAAAAGCTAGGCAAACTTAGCTTGTTATGCAAATGCAGCTTATTAGGAATTCATTCCAGTTGAACTGCTATTTTACTGCCATCCAAATGGTTTGCTTGACTCCGTTCTTTCACTTTCAAAAACAACAGGTATACAATCAAATTCAGCGATTTCAGAATTAGACAAAAGTTGAAAAATTTAGTATGACTACAGTATGTGCACATTCAATGGTCACTCACCTGCTATTTGTTCCTTAACATACTTTGTAAATGTGGTAGTCCAACACCTACAGTACTCCAGGATGTACGATCACAACTGAGACCAACATTTGTTAACAGATTAAAGGGCCCTATCCAACAAAATGAATTTCAATGTGAAGAAAAGCAAAATTTTGCATTAAAACCTGTGAAGAATGGCTGCAGGATTTGGGTTTGGCTAGTCTGAAGAAAAGAAGAATTAGGGGGTGATAATAGCAGTATTCTAGTACTTGAGGGGTTGTCACAAAGAAGAGGGGGTCAAAGTACTGGATATGTTTAAGAGGGAGAGGAAGGAGAGAGGGAGGGAGGGAAAGAGAGAGGGAGGGAGGGAAAGAGAGAGGGAGGGAAAGAGAGAGGGAGAGGGAGAGGCTGAATTCTAAGCATAAGTAGCATTTGGCCTTGGAAATCTATCTTCTGAGACTGATGAGCATCTTCCAAAGGAAGATCCAGGCAGAAGGATATATCTTCCTCATACCTATCCATGTAGCTGCCCATTTGTACCGGATGCTCCCAGAAACAGGGAGGGGTTCAACTCCATCTCCTGGAAATGAAGGTGGTTATTCCTCCCTTGCTTTGAGCACAGAAAATCAGCGTTTTCCCTTCTTCTTTACTATATTGTTCTCCGTAAATTATTATTCTAATTTTGAAAGATACCTCCTGATAAGGACATCCCCATCATTTCTTGCTTTAAAAAAAACCAAGGCTATCCCAGTGAGCTTCTGACCCTCACTTGTATCTTGGCAACCAGTTGAACATTATTATTTGCAATGATATGGGGAAATGACTTTGGAGACAGGAGGAAGAGCGACAGACTAATCAACTGGCATGTAAAAGGTATCATATTAACTTGAGTATTTTTTGAAGGCTCTCTTTAACAACAATAACATAGCTTTTGTTTGGCTGACTATTGTGCTAGCTTAATTACAGGATGTCTAACGGACCTATTGAAATAAAATTAGAACTGAAAGCTCTTTATTTTTCTTTAACATTTTGCTTCCTGAAATTTTCTTGCCACAAACCCTGTCTCTCTCTGTGCTCTTCAGTCTTCTAATCCTTTTTTAAACTCACTTTATTGGAAAATCTTCTCTCCAAATTGAACATGCTTTTCTTCTGAGGATATTATGACTTTTCTTTCTTAGGATCTGTTTGAGGCTTGACAAAATTTAAGCAAATACTCCCTCCCCGCAATCTACGTAACTTTAGAACAAATGTGAGCTTTGAGAGCAAGCGCTCTTTTGCTAAGTCTGTAGAAATGGAAATGGAACAAATTTTGGTTAAGCATCTAAAGAAAAACCATAGAAATTTGTTGGGTGCCATAGACTTTTACCAATAAGAGTCTGAACATTGAAACCAAAGAAAACATCTTACCTTGATATGGAAAAACCGCGAAGCATATAGTTACCAAGAGAGCTTGGATCATTTTGGAGCCTGGATTGGACTGGTGGATAGAAATCTCTTTCTGCTTCCAAGCCAACCTGAGCTCTTCTCCTATTCACCGTGAGAAGCAAGTAGTGAGTCCTTCGGCTCCATTCATGCCCTTGCATGCAAAGGTGTTTGCTAAAGGGTTTGCCCAAATTCTAAGTTGTAACAATATTACTGGAGGGCAGTTTTCCAACTATATTACTGGAGGGCAGTTTTCCAACTGGCTTAGTCCTTGTCACTGCAATAATGACATCTGGAAAGCTTCTTTGAAAGCATCCCTGAAAGCCAAAGCCAAATGGAGAGGATTAAATGCTCACAGCATTGCCTCATTTGGCTCACATGTTTGGGGTCTCTTGGGCATGGGGTCTTAAATGCCACGAGTTGGTTTTTATCGTATTTTGTGAGCGCTTTTTCAACAATCTAGCTTCCTTTCAATATTGCTAGCATTTAGTGCTTGTGCCCAGAAGTTCTGGGTGCCCAATTACTGGAAATATTTAAAAGACTGCACAGCCATTTCTCTGAAACGGTATAGGGTTCCTCCCAACATCCCTTCTAAGTGTTATTCTGTTATTCTGACACCTTTCCCAGGACCTCTACTCAGAGTTTGGCATCCTCAGTTTTCCTGCCTGAGCAGGGGGTTGGACTAGAAGATCTCCAAAGTCCCTTTCAACTCTTAAACACACATGTATTTATGCTCTGGACTATAGATATGGGAATGCATGTAAACCCTGAAAAATATATGGTAGCTCTGGGCAAAAGAAAGGCAGTAGAATCACTCTAGGTGTAGGGACAGCGTAAAATATTAACACATGATAAATAATAGAACAATTAAAAATAATAGCACAGTTCTCTCTCTCTCTCTCTCCCTCTCTCTCCCTTCCTATTTCTTTTCCTTTCTTTATCTTTCTTTGTCTCTTTCTGTCTTTCTCTCCCTTCCTTTCTCTCTCTCACACAACACACACCACACAGACACCACATACACACACCACACACACACTCTCTCTCCCTCCCTTCCTTCCTTCCTTTCTTTCTTTCTTTCTTTCTTTCTTTCTTTCTTTCTTTCTTTCTTAGCAAGGCCAACATTTCCCCTTGGGTTCCAGAAGTGGGTACCCTTAATTTCACTGGGATAGTCGTGGGGCCCTTCTTTGGACTTACCAGAGGATTGCCTTCAGAGTTGGACTTGCTCTCACCAGAAGAGGTTGGAGTTCCCAGCTCCTCTCCTTTCGAAGGGGCGAACTCTAGAACCTCCTGCACTTTCAATGCAGTCTCGCACAGAGTTTTTTCTAGTTTTCTTCCACCTGCGCCCCCTTTGGCTCCAACTTAGCACAGCAATCTGCAACCCGGTGACCTTCCTTCCCACATTGGAAGCATGTGGTGGTTTTGGGTTTCATCTTCCCTTTTGAGGCTTTGGTTTCTTGAGGGTTGGTGGGGGAGGGCTTGCTCCAACTGAGGCCACCCCTGCATCTGTTTCAGGTCAGATCGATTTCCATCTCTGCTGCTAACATGTACCAGAATTGCAGTTCACTTGGGTCTTTTCTGGCGATGCAGCTTTGATAAACATCTTCGTTCAGCCCATCTTTGAATGCTTCTATCAGGGCTCCCTGGGACCAGCTTCAAATATGGCACTCCGGCTCTCTAAATTCCTGGGTGTATTCGGCCACTGATCTCCTCCCCTGATTTATGGTCTTCATTCTAATCCTAGCCTTACGTTCAGCCAATGGGTCTTCAAATCTGGCACATAATGCTGCCGTGAACAGGTCATAATTCATCAATTGGGAGCGTTATCATTATGCAATGTCACCATCCATTTTGGAATACTTCCTTCTAAAGCCCTGGTGACACATCTCACTTTAGCTGCTTCTGATGAAAAATCATTACCATATTCTTAGGCTAGGAAAAAACCTAATTCCTTGGGATTCCACCCCCCCCCCCCCCATATTTTACTTCCAGTGGAAGCACCTTGGAATTTGACACCTTTGGGCAATTGCTCCCCCTACTGGGGCCCTTGGGCTGCAGCCACTGGTTGAACTGGCCAGATTTATGAGGATGGCTGGCAGGGTTCCCAGTGCTGCTGCCTCCCCCTTCTCTCTCTCAGATTCTCCATGAGTCATTCATTCATACCTTGGGTTGGGTTTGCTTCCACCCACAGCTTCCTTTAGGAGATTAAAGGCTTGCACTAGCAGAAGATTTTTCTTCTGTTCCTCATGCCAAGCCTCTTCTCCTCAATGGCATCTGGTAGTCATCACCCCTGGGGGGAGGGGGGTGTCATCTGGTTCCTTCCAGCTGACTCCCAAGGACCATTTGGGTCAGACCACAGGTTTCTCCTTGAGGTGCAGCCCTACTAGCAACTCGGCCATCCCTGCAGCATCCAGAAGTAGGGAAGTTGTTTATCCAGCAGCTCCCAAATCTTCTTGGTCACTAGCTGAGTTGGACATTGTTTTTCAGACCCCATTGGAAGAAAGAATGTTAATTCTCCAGGTGGGATGGTAAACTGAAATCTAGAATAATGTCAGATAGTGATCCATTGAAAATCTAAGAAAGACACTCTTAGACTCCATTGTTATAGAGAAAAGAAAGTTTTACTGGAAATCAAGTGGTAGCATCAAAAGAATCCGAGATCTGAGAATTTAGGCATGGAAAAATCCCATATACAAAGTCATGGCAGCATTCCCACCCAGAATAGTTCAAACAGTCCATCCAATCTGAGATGTGTATAATGTCATGCGGGGCATCTTCAGATGGTGATGCAGACATCTGGCCATTGACCTTGGCCTGGTTAGATAAGATGCTGCAGTTGCACAGTAAGCAAGTAAGCATAAACAATAAAGTTTTCCCCAAGTTTTACAGTTCATTCTCGAAAGCCTCCAGCACACTTCCCATCCCACAAAGCCCTCCCCACCATTACTATAGCAGCCGAAAAGATAGCGAAAGAAAGGAGTCTTCAGGACTGACACTCTCTTTGGTGTCCACCTTGTTTTCTTTCAGAACTTCTGCACTTCCCATCATCAGACATCCTTTCTTGCATCAGCACCAAACTAATTAAAATTGCAAAGCTTATTAGGAGAAGTAGCCTCAAAGCCACATCTTATACTGAATTTAATGTTTCTGTTTGAGGGGAAGGTAAATTATAAACCAGTATTACAATGTATGCATACTTCTAAAAATATGTACCTGCATTTAATGCTTTTCTTATCTTAGTTTGATGCTGAATCTGATCTAAAATTTCTAAATTCTTCTCTCACAGTAGAAAAAAAGGAGGAAAAGCTTTCCTTTTCAGTCTTTTTAAAAAGGAGCTACTCATTGAACTTTCTTGAAGTGAGAACTTGGTTCTGTTTTAGAGTGATCAAAGAAGGAAGAGATTAAAAAATCAGAATTGAGATCTGGTTGAGATCTTTCCTCATAGCTTCTACTCAACTGAACAACCTCACTCTTCCCATTAATTTTCCTCTCCGTGTCTCTATATTTTGCTTCTGAAGAGATCATCACTCACATGTCAGTAGACAAGGAAACTTCTAGATCATCACGTTTCTCTGCTATAATAATTGTTGATCATTTCCAGACAACTCAGGATAATTCTGTCTAAATTTTTATTGTCTGAGCTTTTCCTTTCTCTGAATGTGGCTACATTTCCTTTATTATTTATAAAATAAGCTTTATTTTGGATTTATTTATTTATTTAAAATAGTTTTATCAAAGTTGTGTTTGCTAGAACTAGAATTTGTCTTTTTCCTTTTTATGAATTGGTCAATGACTATAAGAAAGTTTCTTGGCTAATTGATAATTAACCACATCATAAGAAAATTTTCTGAGTAAATTATTTTAGTTGTTCACCCAAACAACCTGTGAAAAATATGTCTCTAACACTTATATCTAACACACTCTCTAAATTTATCTAAATTTCTTTTCAATTTCTTCTTTAATTAGTTTTTAGGGTTTTTTTCTCCATCTCTTCTTCCACATTTTGGGTTCATTCTCCCTCATTTAGTAAAATCATCATTTATTTTTTTTCTTTTACCTCTATTATGAAAATAAATTGTATATAGCAACTCAGGAATTTATTTTTATTTTATTTATTTTGTTTTGTCAATCGCTTACAAGATAATAGGTATAAGTATATACATAGTTATGAATACATGAAATGGGTACATATAAGAAAAATAAAAGAAACAATAGGACAGGGACGGTAGGCATGTTGGTGAACTTATGCACGCCCCCTACAGACCTCTTAGGAAAGGGGTGAGGTCACTAGCTTAGTCAAAAAATTTCTACTTGCATTGTATTCAAGTGAATATATGTACAGGTATATGTACTACATGCATAAGGATTTTTCTTTCAGAATCTTTTGCCTTTTCTTTACTAATAGTCCCTTAGACTTCCAGATACTGCTAATCAACTGAGCATCTCCCAGCAACCCTAACAGTGTAGCCAATATATCTAGATTTTAATTTAGCAGGATCTGGGGGCCTTAGGATTATTATTGCCAAATTTGAAGATTCAAGAATGCTTCAGCCCTCTTTGCTGATGCAACAGTTCTTGTCTAGGCCATACTCTATCATGCACGCCCATTCTTTAGAACAAGAACCTATGGTACATCTCAATGATCTGTTTGTTCTTTTCAACTAAATAAGAGGTGAACCTATTGGGATTCTTTTATTACAAGTAGCAGTAATAAATTATTCTGTGCATTGAACACAACAAATGCTCTTAGTTATTTTTGCTTGACAGTCCACTTTAATTATGATTTACAGCTTTTAGTGCTTCTGGAGTGAGGCAAATATGGGTTTCTTGGCTAGGCATCACCATGATGGACTATGAACATACACTAATTAGGGCCATTGATTTAGAGCTGTAAGCAGACTTTCCAGCTCTACTCATGGAGAATGAGTGGGCATTCATTTAGATTTTCTAAATAAATGAATACATTCTCAGAAATCCCTTCTTGAACTACTCTGCTTACCTTCTCCAACAGTCAGAAATTTTAGTTATGGAAGTATCCCAAAATTCTGAAGGACATTATCCCTAGCACAATTCAATGCCCCAGCAATTATTGAAGGAGGATACCAAAAAATCCCCTTCGAACACAGACAGTGTCCATGTGGTAAAGGAATAATTAAATTGATGGAACATGCTATTCTATATTGTCCTCTCTATGC